ACAAGTACCAATAAATTTGGAGGAGCAAATGCTTCTATTTCTGTAGTTGTACGTTTACACTTCTAAGTACGACACTTTACGTGCACAGTATAGCTGTCTGAGGTATCCAGGTAATTTTTTTTTTAAGATCTCATAAGGGAAGATATTAATTTTTTAAATAAGCTACCATTTTAAATAAAGATCTTTGTTATAATTAAAAACGGGTTATGTTTCATGAAAATTATTATTTTGGATTTCCGGAGGGAGCAGAAGACTTTTGACCTCTTGGAGAATGATAGCAATGCGCATGCATTTGTCGCTTTTGTGAATATAACGCGATGATTAGAATAATAAATATACTGTTCCCGGTGCAAGTATAATTTTTAAATTAGTAGTTTACTCAAATGCCGCCTGGGCGGTTAGCTGCCTAAAATAATACTGTAAGAAACGAAAAATACATAGTGGTTTTATAAGGTATTTCTTCTGCCTTCTTAGCATGCCTTCGTGGTGTAATGCTCGGCGCGTATTCGAGAGGTCCGTGATTCGAGTCCCGGCGAGGGCATTGCTCATTCTTTGCGTTTCCTGCTTGAAAAAATCCTAATGACTCTACAGTGGCGCCCGAACTGAAAATGGTGGTGGATAATGTTTCTTCAGCACCAAGATTTGGCGATTGGGAGATTTTAATCCTCCTCTTATTAAAAGGGGAGAGTATATGAGGTATTTCTCCCACCTTCTTAGTATGCCTTCGAGGTGTAATGGTCAGCACACTCGGCGCGTATTCGAGAGGTTCGAGGAACGAGTAACTGGCGAGTGCTCTGCTCATTTTTCGCCTTTCCTGCTTCAGAAGTACTAATCACTCCACAACCTTTGCCTATGTATAATGTAAAAAACTATTATATAATAGTTTTTATAAACTCCAAATCTCTAATCATACTGCCAATTCTTGCAATGTTATATTACCCAGCACAGTGATGGCATGCGTGATCTGAAATCCACGACAATTTCAATTAGTTCAGCTAGTGTAATTTCACAGGTACAGAGATAAATAAAGATGAACTCCGTCTATTGCTTTTAAATCGCTTAGTTTTTTTTTAAATCAATAACAGACAGAAAACGTTTAACAGAAAATTAAATATCTGAACGCTTTCCCAAACGCAGCATGCTCTTACTTATAACAGGAGGATAATAATGGGGGGGGGGAGAAGTGAATGATCCGAATTTTGTACAGGTACAGTTTCCAATAGCCAGTGTCAGTTTAGCTTTCATTATATGCCTGTGTTCTCTGTTCTAGATTATAGTACCGGTCGACAGCTGCTGAGTTAAGAGTGCTGAGCCCATCTTTTCTGTTATCCTACCTTCATACCAATGGTTTTAAAGGTATGCTGGTAAGCAAGATACCGAATGGTTCATATACCCTTTTCCGTTGTCGCCATTAATAATTTTTTAGCCAGTTTCGAAACGGATTTTTGCATCGGTTCGCTATAAATGCCCGTTTCCCTTTTCAAATTCTTGCCACCAAATATTATTGCCTTGTATTATATTTAAACAAGTTAAATAATGAAGAATCTGCATAACGTTATGTATGTTTCTCGCATTGTGAAAAAAAAAAAAAAAAAAAAAAAAAAAAAAAAAAAAAAAAAACGGTACCTAGAGCAATAAAATTCTGAATAGCGTACTCCTCCACCTGAATATGGGCACATGGAAGCCCTAATTTGTAATTTCAAATCTGATTTATTGTCAATAACATATTTCGTAAAACTTTAGCGAATTTCCGATAACCAAACTCAACGTTTTCAAAGCGAACAATAAAAACACTGTACAAAAAAAAAAAAAAAAAAAAAAAAAAAAAAAAAAAAAAAGAAGTTTGTATCTCTCGCGCGAGAGTGTCTATCGGAAATTTTAAAGGTACATGATGTTTTTTTTTAAATATTTTTATCTCAAATGCTCTCGAAACGTGTATGTATGTGTAAATGAAAAAAACGTGCCTTTGGGCGTAATATAAAATCTGAAAGCGTTCAGATTATTTTTTGGTATCTTCATACTTCAGTATATTTTGTATTGTTTCCTTTTTTGTAATTTTTGCTTCAGTTCCCGTTTTATAGTTTTCACTTTAGTTGTACATCAACAACTTTAGATGGCAGCGACTTTATTAGCATAGAACTACGATTTGGAGAATTACAAAATTAGGAAAATCCGAGTCCAGTTGAGTCCCAAATATTAAAATATGTTGACATTCCTAATTAATTTGGTACCATTTTGATATTATATATTTCGAATTTTGAATTATTAGAAAAATATTATTAAGTTTTATGCCATAGCAAACAAAATTACTATACTTTTTTTTAAAAAACATACATTTAATAAAAAAATAGATTTTTAGACAACGTTAGAAAATAGACAACAATTAAAATTGAGCATTTTAATTGTTGTGAAAACGGGACTTGGTTCATGGAAGTTGAAAGTAAACATCCAATCTAAATAATAAGTAAAAGATTTCTTGAGCCCGGATATTCGGGATTGAAGAACCATAAACTGCTTTTCTGGGGCGTGGGAAGTTCATTTTTGGCTAGCAGCAAAAAGTTCTAACGTATGCTTTTTTCTTAAACTGTAATTATACGATACCTACTCGTAAATACCTACTTTTAACTCCAAATTAATTTATAATAATCAATTAGTTATAATTATATATTATTTATGATTATTTTAATTATTATTTTTATATGCTTATTTTTGATATTATTGTTATTATGGATATGTTTGTTTATTTCTGATTATTTCATTATTAAATGCAACAACCGAACATTTCTTATTTCAGTATTCGTCGGAAATGGCTGAACCCGTCATTCATTTAGACGCTCACCACTGAGAACTTTATCTAGCGTGCGCCACAGGGATGCGAGCGGTTTTATATTCGTAAGGTTTAATTTATTTGATTACAGCAAAGCACGCGACGGCTATCTTACTAAAGGGAAGGATACCTACAGGGAGGAGTTCCTAAGGAAATTAGACACATATCCACGTAATACACGGAGGAAGCTACAAAAACGCCCACCAGCCAGCCTGTTCGTCGGGAAATGAACCTGGGTCTTAAATACCATTGTTTAGCAACGTCACCGCTCGACCACTAGTCAGCCGGAAGAAGGGCGACAGAAAATTACAATACATTCATTGTTCTCCAAAATTCGAACTTGGGCCGAACACTATACTAGCCGGCTTCTCTAATCGCTATATCAAGTAGAGTATTTTCTTCTCTCTTCCCAATTATTGCATTGTTTTTCTGGCCGCCCAGATGGTATAGTTGTTATTGAAGGTGATTGCAATAGCAAAGTGCTTGGGTTCGAATCCCGGAGACAGCATGGGTTTATTTGTTCTTCCCCTCATAGAAGACAAAAGTGATCCACCTATTAGGTATAAAATGACCACCGCTTCTGGCATCAGTAGTGCCCAGCGTCTGTGGACGGTCTGCGGACGAAAAAACACTGTTTTCTTCTAAAAGTCTTCCCCTCCTCCCGCCTTTTTTTCAGCAGTCCCGAAAAATCGCAAGCAAACATAAATGAGTCGGAAGTAAAAAGTTTATGGATGCAAATCTTACGCATAAACTCGTTATGTATACGAAAGCCGACTACATTGAACACTACCATATTTTTGGTATCATAATAAAAATAATGGAAAATACAATCTATAACATGTTTACAAATTTTGAATAATATTCTTAACAGCGAAATTTAAATTGCCAACTTTCATCATATTCAAGATTTATGAAATGTTTTCAACTTTTACTGCGTATCCAAACAAAGAAGAATATCGTTTACAAAGAAGATCACCGCTATAAAATATAACTTTGTTATAAAACAATTTATCACGCAAATATATTTTGTATGGAAAAAGGGATTAGAACAGAATATGAAATATAGTAAAATGTATTTTATTTCGAAAAGAGTATTTGGAGTAAAATATATTTTATTTTGAAGAGTTTTTGATTGATTTATTCATTTTTTGGTAGCTAATATTAATACACTTTAATAAATTTCTTATTTAGAAATAATATTTTGAAATAGTGTTTGTTAATGCTTCATTCTTTGATCTCAGTACATAAAAATACTTGAATATTGTGCTTACTCAGAAATAAGGTCCCACTGAAAATTAGATCCTCTTTACAATTCATTTAAATTTTAAGAAATAAAAGTTCAGCGAATATTCAGACAGTGAAACAATGATTCTGATTAGAATTAAAGGTCATAAAGTACAATATTTTGCTATGGTACAGGAAGAAAACTTGGGAAAAGTTAGTGATACCTTGTTACCTGTTTGTAAACGTATAAACCAATACAGTGAGTGCAGGTCTAATTTGAAATCGCTCAGTTCACACAGTGGTAATTATGCAGTATGCGACCTACGGCTTTTAGTTATTTATTTCTTTTTTGAATTGCTCCCTCAAACGCTATTTTTAAATTCGAACGTGCGAGAAGAAATAATTAAAATAACAACCAATTTTAGTGCCGCAGTCTAAAAAAAATAATAACAAGCTAAAAGCGGTAGATCGCATACATAAATTATAATTAGCGGTAGCCACGCACTTTAACAGTGCGATAATTAATTGTGTGTTTTATTTAGTAGTTAATTAATGTAATTATTTTGTACACCATAATTAGAGATTTATTTTTAAAATTAGCAGCCTGGGAGCCCTATGGAACGACGTCAGGTAAAGCAGGATTCAATGAATAAATTAATAAATAATAAAACGTAAAGTAATTTATAAACTAAGTTAAATTAATGATAAAAAATAAATAATAATTTAAAATATTTTAATTCGTCTTTTTGGGGGCTCTGACTGGAATTACGATTATATTCAAAGACTGAAATGCACCTGTATATCAAAATACTCATTTATAAAACCTTACCAAATATTTTGAATTTATGTATGAGAAAACGAGTGTTTTATTTCAGATTAAAACTGTACCTTATTTTAAATTAATACCTACAACAATATACCAAGTAGAAAAATCATTCAAAAAAATTACCTTATGTAATTAAATGAAATAATAATCCATTCTTAGCCAGGAATTCAAATTGATGCCTTCATCTTAAGGTAGCTAAATTCTTGAAGCTTTTACTGTTTCTTTAAATTTATAAATAAAAGACTAAAGACTATAAACACTAAACTCTAACTGCGCCCCAACTTGAACGGCCTTTCCTTCTTTTCTGAAACTGAACAACACTGTCACGCTTTTGATGGCGGCAGACGGTCCGAACTGGTTTGGCGACAATATCAAGTTCGCCAATGAGAGCCAATTTTGAAGCTCATTGTAAGACAGACGTCTTTGAAAGAAATAAAGAATACTTCATAAAAATTACTGTTCCTTAATGGAACTGATCGTAAAATTAACAAAAGGAACTTTAAATAATTACAATGTATTATGCATACAGCATGTTTATAATTTTATTCCAAGATAGGTAAGCTAAAAGGTTTTTGAACCTATGTCTTTATCTCCAACTATAAAAAAATCACTTTTGGGATTTGATTTTGTAAAAATGCATTATCTAGCAGAAATATTTTAACAGTTACAAACCTATTTAGAAAAGTATTAATTTTCAAAACTAAATTTCTTTTATGGACTTGTACAGACATTAGGTATTTTTTTGGAAGCAGGAGCGATGAAAAATGAGCAATGCCTTCGCTGGGAATCGAACCATTGGAATACGCGCCCAGTGGGCAAATCACTACATCACGAAGGCACGCTAGAAAGGCGGGAGAAATACCTTATATACTCCACCTTTTAAAAACCGATGGAGCTTAGAGGACCCAATCGCCAAATCCTGGGTGTAGAGAATCATTATCCACCTCCCTTTTAGTTCGGGCGCCATTGTAGAGATATTAGGATTTTTTGGAAGCAGGAGACTTGAAAAATGAGCAACGCCTTCGCCGGGAATCGAACCGTGGACCTCTGGAATACGCTCCCAGCGGGCAGACCACTACACCACAAAGGCACGCTAAGAAGACGGGAGAAATACCTTATAGATTTTTATTTTAATTTATTATTTTTATTTACTTATTTATTTATTTGTTGTTGTAGATGCTGAGCGCTAGCCATTATATGCGTTGGCCACTACTAAGGCGGCCAGAGGCTGTAGTCACTATTACGGAGGCACCTAATAGGTGAGCCACTTTTGCCTCCTATGAAGGGACAGACAATTTACATCCATGCGAGATTCGAACGCGAGTCTTTCGGTACAGCAGTCAGGTTCACTAACCACTTTCCCACTTGGGAGGCTATTTTTAATTTATTTCTGTAAGTATATGAATATTCGTGAAAATTGCAATTTATTGTAATTGTAGGTGTACATGAAGAATATTATTTATATTATTAAACGTTAATGAAATCACATCTTTTTTTTTTTTTTTTTTTTTTTTTTTTTTTGGCGGGGAAGGGGGGGTGGTCATCAGAAATTTCTGGGGACTTGTAAAAGTTAAATAGTTTTCTAGCAAAATAAAATTCATGCACACCATCAGGCCTCCATTACTGACTACTGAGAAGAATAGAAAGAAACTTGAACTAGGGTTTTCAAGTTCGAAGTATAAGGGAAATTTTAATTTATCTCCTCTGCTATCATGCTTATAGTCTCTTCTCAAAGGGTTGTCAGTGGGCAAAGCATGAGATCTTTAATTTTCAAATTTAATCCATCTATTATTAACAAAAACTGACCAGCACAATTTTTAATAATTCAAAGCTCTATTTTACTTTTTAGTTAAATAGCTAATCGATATAAATTGAAATGCATTTAATTTGTAGTATATCCAGCTGATGGTTTCTGTGAGTATTTGTAGTGTTGTTGTAATTAATAAAAATGTTTTTAAATGCTAATGTTAAGTAGCTGGGATAAAGTCACTTTTAAAAAAAAGTTTCGGTTTTTTAATTTTCTTTATTTTTATTAATTTTATTTTAAGAATTTTAATGTTTATTTCTTCTCTGACGAGTTAGCTTATAAACAGGAAAAAAAAATTAACGTTATTTGAATTTAGAGAATCAGTTCCTTTTTGTTCAGGGAAATTTTAAGAGAATTTTATAGATGATTTTTAAAATATTTCGCGCAAAATTGTATGTTTGGCAAAACTCTTCCAAGGCAAGGTTATTCAATTGAACAAAACCGAAAAGTGCAACAAGCTGCCAAATGTGGTAAGCACTGAAATAAGGGGTAAACTTCCCATGGCTGCCAGAAACTTTTCTTTCAAGGTTCTGCTCATTATCTTTTGACGGACGTTACGAGCGTATTTTCCCCAACCGCTTCGTTTCCCCTTCTCTTAACAACTTTTACTACTTTCCATTGCTTTAATTCACTTTTGGTAGACGAGTTCGCCTCAAAAATGTCTGTTCGTCGACCTTAGGTTGGTTTTATAATATTTTCTTTTTTGGGTGGTGGACGGAGGTATTGGTTTTCTGAGGTAGCAATGATTTTACCACCATGAACGTATGATTCTCGTCCTCCCCGAGTTCTTACATGGTGTTCTTTCAAAAGATAAGTCTGCCTTTCTTTATCATGTGTCACCCTGAGGGTAGGACTTAACAATAGTCCTGCACAGAAGCATGCCTGATATGGACGCCAAGTAAAAGGTTCTAGAAAATTCTAAAGATGGTTGTGCTCAGGCCATACCCCTTGATAGAATAAGAGGGAGTTCTCTCAGGACCTCCTTATCCATCTAAGCTAAATGATTGATATCCGAAGGACGCCACTGATCTGAATCGGAGTCACACGCGTCTCAGGGTGCTTACAAATCCACTAAAACTAAGTTCATTGAAATATATGACGCACTGCACCGATGGAAAACTATTTATATAGCAAAATATGGTTTGAACGTCCAGATGCTTCGCCGTGAAGACTTTGCTTACTTTTTATTTCAAAATAACAATTTTTTTTAAATTTTCTTTATCTTTATTAATTTATTTTAAGAATTATAATGTTTATTTCTTCTCTGACGAGTTATATTATAAGCAGGGGGGAAAAAATTAACATTATTTGAATTTAGAGAATCAGTTCTTTTTTTTTTTTTTCAGGGAAATTTTAAGAGAATTTTATAGATGATTTTTAAAATACTTCGCGCAAAATTGCACGTTTTCAATAACGTACAATCGCACAAGTTGGCTCTGACCGACTTTCGAGTCAGAGCCAACTTGCGCGATAGTTAATTTAGGCTATATTTAACGTCATTACTTTTAAGTCAGTTGCCATTAGGCTTGCTTACGTCGACTTTCCGCAATCTCTTGTTCATTTTTCCAAGTTCGTTCTTTGAGAAATATTTATTTTAAAGTTGTCAAAAGAATATTCAGGTTTTTTTTTTTTTTTTCGTCAGTTATATTTCAATCAATTTTCTATTCCTGACAAATTCTTATAAAATTTCAGTTGTATTTTTTAGAAAGACCTATTTTTGATATATTTTCACTAAAAGATGGCAGACCAAAACTCACATTCTTACGGTTTAGTTTATTTTGCTAAATTGTGGGGATTTATTTAATTTAAATAACAGTTATTTTTTGTAAGCTGTTTCCCTCTTGCTCACACTTTCTTTCGGGAATTTAAATTTACTAGAGCGTGTGTATTCAAATGAAGCAGAAAGACGTTAGTGTTTAAAGGAAGGTTTTGGAGGATGAAATCATAGAATGTTCTTCCTGCTTGAAGACCACGTCGCTAACTTTTGACTCTGTAGAGATTACAAGTCAGTCGTGATTCTTGCCATTAAGCTTGTTTACGCCGACTTTCGGGTGAGAGCCAACTTGCGCGATGGTTAACTTAGGCTATACTTAACGTCATTAATTTTAAGTTATTCATTACCTTTTGAGTCAAGCCAAAAGTGTTGGCTTTTGAAAGCACGAGTTGGTGCAACCTGTGAACTTTATTTGAGCTAATAAAGGATCTTTTACATATTTTTCCTGACTTTGTAGTACCTTAAAGACTTAGTGATTATTCACTAAACAGTCTTCCAACGTCGAGCTTAGTTTATGCTAGAGAAACATACAAGACGTTATAAAATACTTAATTTGAATCTATGCGGTGAATCTATGCGTATCTTAATTTGAATCTATGCGTTGAGGTACATCGTCACAGAATCTTCACTTTTATGGTAAAAAGCAAAGAATCAATCAGTATAGTCCAGACATGGCCAAACTGCGGCTCTCCGACACCTTCAGTGCGGCTCGCGAGCTACTTGAGATCCTTTGCCATCTGACATGTTTTGAATAAATATAATTTAATTTTTTAATATAAATGTAATTTGAAATAGAAGTCGTGCAGTGCTACGTTTCTTTATTAAATCGCTAACTGAATTTCTGGTATTGTGTATGTAAAAATTTGTTAGATTTCAAACTGTCCACAGTCCACTGCTGGGTTATCATCAGAGCAACAAATACGTATAATCACAAATCATTCCATTTATAGCAATTACTACTCCACTTATGTTACTTTTTGAACAGGTAATGGTCATCAGAATGCAGTAATACAAAGTTAATCTAAGACTCAATGCTAATATTTTTATATAATTATTCTCCGTAATATTTTTTCTCTCAAGTTAGTTTTACTTCAGGTAGTATTGTAGAGCTATTAGGTTATTTGGTTATTTGGAAGCAAGAGACTTGAAAAATGAGCAACGCCTTGGCCGAGAATCGAATCACGGACCTCTGGAATACGCACCCAGCGTGCAGACCACCACACTACAAAGGCATGTTAAGAAGGCGGCAGAAATACCTTATAGTATCTGCTTACATTCCTGTGTGATCCCATTGCTCACAACAGTTGTGATCCACCTGGAAGATTTGCTATCCGTTGTAGGATACTACTTTTATTCAGTCTTTGAATGGCGTGAGTAACTATTAATGAAACCTGTCCTGTTTCGCCTTGCAATCCATATTGAACTCTTTTAATCTCTGCAAGAATTTTACGAGGATTTTATTTTTGGAGTGAAGTTGCAACCTCTTACTTGGTTAGGAGACGTATCTCAAATTTCTGCGGAACTCCTTCAAAATTAATTTCCCATCCCTAAGCAAGTCTAGTATCTTTATGAAGTTGCTTCACATATTTCGCAACCATTCACAATAATATGTAATATGCTTAATGAATACTTTTCCCACATGAAACTCTATCTTTTGTAATAATTCCTTAGTAATCCTAGCCAGATATCATAATTTATTTCACCAACGGTTATGCAT